CCGTTGCTGTGGCAAGCCCTTTGATGAGACAACCAGTCATAGTTACTCTGAGTTTGTGTCGTCCTGCATGACTCACTTTAATATTGCTTTGGCAGCGTGGTGGCATGCTGATACTGAAAGCTATGATGAGTTTGTTCTTCGGCTACTAAGGCAAGCCCATTGATGAGACAACAAGTCATAGTTACTCTGACCTTTTGTTTTCAGCATGACATTCCCCCTCGGAGTGACCGTCTTGTCCGCAATTGTTGCATGTTCATTCTGAGAGCGATGATGAAAGTATTTCTTCCGCCGTTGCTGTGGCAAGCCCTTTGATGAGACAACCAGTCATAGTTACTCTGAGCTTGTGTCGTCCTGCATGACTCACTTGAATATTGCTTTGGCAGCGTGGTGGCATGCTGATACTGAAGGCTATGATGAGTTTGTTCTTCGGCTACTAAGGCAAGCCCATTGATGAGACAACAAGTCATAGTTACTCTGACCTTTTGTTTTCAGCACGACACTCCCCCACTGAGTGACCGTCTTGTCCGCAATTGTTGCATGTTCATTCTGAGAGCGATGATGAAAGTATTTCTTCCGCCGTTGCTGTGGCAAGCCCTTTGATGAGACAACCAGTCATAGTTACTCTGAGCTTGTGTCGTCCTGCATGACTCACTTGAATATTGCTTTGGCAACGTGGTGGCGTGCTGATACTGAAAGCTATGATGAGTTTGTTCTTCGGCTACTAAGGCAAGCCCATTGATGAGACAACAAGTCATAGTTACTCTGACCTTTTGTTTTCAGCACGACACTCCCCCACTGAGTGACCGTCTTGTCCGCAATTGTTGCATGTTCATTCTGAGAGCGATGATGAAAGTATTTCTTCCGCCGTTGCTGTGGCAAGCCCTTTGATGAGACAACCAGTCATAGTTACTCTGAGCTTGTGTCGTCCTGCATGACTCACTTGAATATTGCTTTGGCAGCGTGGTGGCATGCTGATACTGAAAGCTATGATGAGTTTGTTCTTCGGCTACTAAGGCAAGCCCATTGATGAGACAACAAGTCATAGTTACTCTGACCTTTTGTTTTCAGCACGACACTCCCCCACTGAGTGACCGTCTTGTCCGCAATTGTTGCATGTTCATTCTGAGAGCGATGATGAAAGTATTTCTTCCGCCGTTGCTGTGGCAAGCCCTTTGATGAGACAAACAGTCATAGTTACTCTGAGCTTGTGTCGTCCTGCAGGACTCACTTTAATATTGTATTGGCAGCGTGGTGGCATGCTGATACTGAAAGCTATGATGAGTTTGTTCTTCGGCTACTAAGGCAAGCCCATTGATGAGACAACAAGTCATAGTTACTCTGACCTTTTGTTTTCAGCATGACACTCCCCCACTGAGTGACCGTCTTGTCCGCAATTGTTGCATGTTCATTCTGAGAGCGATGATGAAAGTATTTCTTCCGCCGTTGCTGTGGCAAGCCCTTTGATGAGACAACCAGTCATAGTTACTCTGAGCTTGTGTCGTCCTGCATGACTCACTTGAATATTGCTTTGGCAGCGTGGTGGCATGCTGATACTGAAAGCTATGATGAGTTTGTTCTTCGGCTACTAAGGCAAGCCCATTGATGAGACAACAAGTCATAGTTACTCTGACCTTTTGTTTTCAGCACGACACTCCCCCACTGAGTGACCGTCTTGTCCGCAATTGTTGCATGTTCATTCTGAGAGCGATGATGAAAGTATTTCTTCCGCCGTTGCTGTGGCAAGCCCTTTGATGAGACAACCAGTCATAGTTACTCTGAGCTTGTGTCGTCCTGCATGACTCACTTGAATATTGCTTTGGCAGCCTGGTGGCATGCTGATACTGAAAGCTATGATGAGTTTGTTCTTCGGCTACTAAGGCAAGCCCATTGATGAGACAACAAGTCATAGTTACTCTGACCTTTTGTTTTCAGCACGACACTCCCCCACTGAGTGACCGTCTTGTCCGCAATTGTTGCATGTTCATTCTGAGAGCGATGATGAAAGTATTTCTTCCGCCGTTGCTGTGGCAAGCCCTTTGATGAGACAACCAGTCATAGTTACTCTGAGCTTGTGTCGTCCTGCATGACTCACTTGAATATTGCTTTGGCAACGTGGTGGCGTGCTGATACTGAAAGCTATGATGAGTTTGTTCTTCGGCTACTAAGGCAAGCCCATTGATGAGACAACAAGTCATAGTTACTCTGACCTTTTGTTTTCAGCACGACACTCCCCCACTGAGTGACCGTCTTGTCCGCAATTGTTGCATGTTCATTCTGAGAGCGATGATGAAAGTATTTCTTCCGCCGTTGCTGTGGCAAGCCCTTTGATGAGACAACCAGTCATAGTTACTCTGAGCTTGTGTTGTTCTACTGGCACGGAGCCATTGAATGCCGTTGGCCCATATTTCCACAGTGATGCTCCAAGGATGTGGTTTTGCAGGCCCGTTTGAATTTCACCTTTCTCCAAACTTCAGCTTTTTTCTGTCCAGAATGATTCAAGTGATACAGTGACTGATACAAGACACTGACTGCCTCGGTGCCTTGGTGCGTCTTGGTGCCTTGGGAGTGTAGAAAGCTGATGTGGACGATTCACATTTCCCATTTGTTGGCACGAAACGCATTGATTTAAGCCCCATGTTTGTGAGTTACAATGAGTTACATATTATGTACCCTCTGGTCGTCTGGTAGATGGCTGGAAAATCCATGAATCATTGAATGTAAAGATAATTCTCCCATTAACATCTCCATTTATATGGGATTTTCCTTTGTCATCTTTGACTACTGAAGAGTATTTATCATTTGATTTGGTCTTCCCACCGTGGTTCCAATGCTGCTTCCAAGGTCGACAAAGCACATCCACTTGTTGGTCTACTTAACTGCTGGGACCTTGGGTTTGAAATATGGGCCTGTCTGAAAATGATGTATATCCCCCCAAATGGATCCAAATGGTTATTTTATTCGGGACAATTGTGATTCATGAATGCATTTAAGAGTATCCTATTTTAGGCAATCCTTTATGTTCGATATCCGCCATTCTTGAAGAAACAACATATGCTGAGAGTGGAACATGCATCATTTTTTTGCCCCTCTTTGAGGCAAGGTCAGCTGCGTTTCCAAATATTATCCTCAATAACCTCGTGGTGCACTGCAGCAGAGTATTGTTTTGTGACCCAAGTTCTTCCAACATTTGACGCGCTGAAAACGGGCAATATTTTACCCGAAGCTCAGATTGCGATACAGAATCAGACTTAAATGATCTTAAATGCCAGCATGATTCAACATGTCAATACTGATTGAACATGATTGAACTATTGTGTAGTTCTGATGTAGAATATAGTATGTGCGGTATGTACATCATATGTACATCATACATCAACAATGTATGCTTGGAGGACCATGCCACTTAGTAAAAATCATCCTGATCGCAAGTCCCTGTTTTAAAAGTGGGTTATCCGGTGATCACGGTGATCCCATCTCTAAACGGATTATAAACTTATTATAAGATTTACCCTCTGGTAATTTAACATAGCCATGGAAAATCACCATTTTTCATGGGAAAATCCACTATAAATGGCCATTTTCCATGGCTATGTTAAATTACCAGAGGGTATAAGTATGATATAGTATATGATTATGAAGTACAATTCGTGGGATGCTCCAAGTAGTATCATGTGCTGGTACATAATAAACCACCCCAGTCGTCAGCCAAAAAAACCGGCTGCAGTGCAACATCAACATCTATAAAAACCATCCCCAAAGGATTTTCCCACATAAAGTCTACAAGCTCCGTGGTTTCATCGAGACCTGCTACGGGACAGGTTCAGTTCGCCGTCTACGGGGTCTTCGAGAAAGTGCTGCCACCGCGACGAGCTCAGAGTTTATCGCTCGCAGCGGCGCCTCCGAGTGTGACATGTGGCTGGTTTATAACTAAGATATACTAATAAAACTATAGTTGGTGGATGTTGATGGGGTTCATAACACATGATAAGCCCATCTAAGTATAGTTAAAATACAGTTACTTCACCATAAAGCCGACAATTCATTGAGTTTCATTGAGTTATAAACTAAGAAAAATAGCGATTCTTCTAAGGGCACCACCTTGAGCAGTGGTTGTGACACGGCAATGGACTACACCCAACTTCACCAAGGCCCAAATATAGGATTGTACCTATGGGTTTGAAAAATGATTCTACTGGTTTATCTCAAAAAATATACTGTAATTAGTATGGACGGATGTGCATGACCGCCAGATTATTTCTTGAGAACTTATGGGAGTTTAGACCCATGTATGGCACATTTGCGGGTTGTTTGGAGGTGTGAATGGCAGTTGGAAACAATATAAAAGAACTTTCCGGAATGGATCCATAATTTGGTCATGTCTGGAGTCTGGAAGTACTGGCTTCACCTAGCTCAGTTGGGGCGTGTTTGGAGGTGTTCAGGTATTCAAGCCATATTCACACCGTATTGTTCTACTTGGATCTGCCAAATGACGATGACGATGACGATGATGACGATGAGGATGATGATGATGATGATGATGATGATGTCACTTGCCATGAACTCAAAATGGTCATGTGGCACAGAACAGGCCATTGGTGAATCAGCTTCCTGGAAAAACCGGCAGCTCCAAAAACTCAAAGACTTGAAGTCCCGAGACTAAGGACACCGAAATTTGGCTGCTTCAAAACTCCCATCCCAAAAATATCAGTCTCATCATTCTGATGAAGTTTACCTAATATAGCTACGTACATATAAAGTGGCCCATTTACAGATGGTCACCTGTTGAGAGTGACTTTCCATATTCATTTATAGAATTACCAGAGGGTTTATTCGGCTGTAGTGACCATGAAAGACATGTAGTGACTGAGTCTGAAGAACTTAGGATCGATGCTGCGACGCGGAAGTTGCTCCTATCTCCAGTCTTGGTGGTAGATCCACCTACGGGAGTGGTCCGGAGCCACGAGAGGATCTCAGCAACGGAGCAGGACCAGGATGAAGCAAGAAAAACAGGGAGAGTAAGGTTTTGACCTTTCAAGTATGGGATTATATTCAATTTAAATACTATTATTTAAACAATCTAGTCTATTATAACACCATATGGGTTTGTTTGAAGAACAATTAGCCCATTCCATCTACTTGTTGATCATCATCGCCGATGGTGATGCCATGGCTGGAAAATCCTGATTTTGGTCGCTTGTCCCAGTTAGTTTGGAGTCCCAAAAATAACTGAGACATGATATCAAAATACTATAATATATGAGATCTACTACGTTCATTGTACTAATGAAACATATCTACTAATACGTGATAAATATCATCGGAAGAAATTAGAACAATGATATCAAAGTACTGAGACGTATAATGTTTCAATCATTGTACTAATCAAACATCGTATGTACCAATCTAAACATTATACCAATGGGAAATGCTTTGTCCCCAACTTTTTGCGGCATGGATCTCCGTAAATCCCAGCGATGTTTGAGGTTTTTTGTTAATATGTCATTCAAAAAAATGCGTGAGCCATGGGTGTTTTTCAGCATGGTTTCCATATTTTTTCATATCTGGTTGGTGGTTTGGAACATGAATTTTATTTTCCATGATATATTGGGAATAGTAATCCCAACTGACGAACTCATATTTTTTCAGAGGGGTAGGTATACCACCAACCAGATATGTTCGCCGTGTTTGATGTGTTTGATGTGTAACTGTTCCTTTTGTGAACGACGCAGGTCTACAACTTCCTGCGCAAAATCTCCACGGCTCCCTTCAAGATGTTGTCCTTCGCGGAAGACGGCCCCGGCTGGGTGAACAGGAAACCATCAAAGGGCTGGGTACTTAAAGGGAGGGGGTCTTCTCTGGAAATGGTAAACTCATTCTCATTTATGCCATAGTCAATACAGTATGGTAAATTGGCCTAATAATTGGGTGCTGCTCATCACTCCATAGGGATTCATATCTTATGATGCCATGATGTTTGGATTTCCAAATGGGATGACCATACCCGGACCATGTGAAACTTGACGGCAGGTGTAGCGCCTGGTGGACAGGTGCGCAGGGGTGGCCAAAGGATGCCAAAGGTTTATTTGGAGAGGGGTGGCATCCCTGAATTAATGTGGTCTACCCACAATTCATGGGCTATTTTGATGATAAAACATGATCAACCACCATATTTTAGTTTTTTTTTCGGCACGGTTTCAGACAAATCCATGAGAATCAAGAGGTTTTTGTGTTCCCTCCCTTTACCGAGTAAGTCAAGCACTCGGCGCAAAACACCACGAAACTGCTAACCCTGACCAACCAGCCAAGTTGAGGCCAAAGAAAGGCTTTACTTTAACCACCAGTGCTGGTTATGTCTCGATTGTAACAACTCTCATTGGACAATCATCAATGATTGTCGTGCCAGTAATGAAAAAATCGGGGCATCACTATCCACAATTTTCACCTGTGTGCGAATATCTTGGAATTCAACATCCGAGCACCAAAGGCAGTTCAGACTGAATCGCATTTTTTCTTCTGCCATCAGCATTGCGTTTGTAGAGTTTCGATTTGTAGTTGTGCATCTACAAACACATCTCAGGTTTTTGATTTCCGCAGAATTCTGTATCTCCAGAATCTCAAGTTCAAACGCTGCATCTCCAACTGGGCAGTGCACCGGAAAACGCAGCATCTGTTCAGGGCAGTGCACTACGGAGTGCTTCGGCGCCCGTGCATGCGGAGGAGGAGGGATTGCCCAAGGGGAATTGGTCGTTGTCCTTTTGAAAATTGATGGTTTCACTAGCCAAAATCGGATGTTACCATTGTAAACCAAAAGACGTGGAAACTCCACATTGTGGACATGGTTTCCCAAGAAATAAGTCGCATTGTTGTTGATTTTCCGCCACATCTATGCTACTTTCACTTTTGCAAAACTATCAAAGCAACATCTGCTCATTCATGACAATATAGTTATCAGACCCATGAAAAAAATCCGCAAAAACGGAGATATCCATCGATGCTGGAAATCAAAGGTGGCTGGAAAATCTCCAGCCACATTCTGACTGGTGGTCCATGCAGGAAAGGGAAATCATCGTTGTTGAAACTTGGATTGGTAAATGTTCCATGCAGGAAAGCCTATTTCATGCGGAAAACACAGCCTATCCAGGGTTTTAATTCACTGGTTTTCGGGATTTTCCATGAAAATCCCGTGAATGTGACTATTTGATGATGATTATTCTTAAATGAACTACCTCGGGAATGCCCAAACAATTATTGATTCCACTTGTTCATTAGATGATCTAAAGAAACTAACGATAGGCTGTTGATTCTGGGTGTGGTGTTAGCACCTTGGTCACAATTGTAAGAAGTCTTTACATTGGACCATCTTAGATAACTCGTATATATTCGTATATAGTTTACATAGTTTAGTATGGTTTGGTGTAAAGTTTAGTATCTACTGTATAGTTTAGTAATTGTTTAGTGTATAATATAAAATGATATATTATAATTTAGTACAGTTTAGTTCAGTTTAGTTGTACATGAAAATACAAAAACGGGCAACATACTTGGGATGTGTAATGATACTAAAAATCCATGGTACCCGATGAGTTGTGACTTTTCATGGGGCCGGTGCCAGCAAGGAAAGACAGACAAGTTAGTTGATTGGCAGGGAAACAATAGGGAATCTTATGGAATCCTATATAGAATCCTATATGGAATTTCTTGGATGTCCCAAATTCCCATTGGTTGGTTGATGAAAAAAGAGGGGTTTGAAGGTTTACCCCTTTAACAACAGGTTTCTATGATGATAGATGGTATACCAGTCACCGGCCCCTCTATTTTTACCAAAAGGACATTATTGTATGGAATCCTTAAATCTCAAAATTCGAATTCTTTCTTCATG